AGAAGGAAATTGTTTCGGTCTTTGTTGGGATTATCAAGATGAAGTTGTCTTTAAGTTGGACAATTGTTGATTCTTTTAATTCAATTGGAGACATGAGACAATGGTTAGTCAAATTGAAGGTTTCTGCGATACTGGGTTCGTTTGAATTTAAATAAGATTGTTCGCATAGGAAAATGTCTTCAATTTATTTGCATTTGTTCTTGATATTGAATGACTCGTTCGAAGATTTCAGCAAATAAGGGTTTTTGAGGTTTGTGACATGATAGTCAATTGGAATTGAATAGAGTTGATAGAGAGTATAGGATTTTCCTGATATTAAGGAAATCGCTATGTGAAAGATAATCAACTCATTTTTTATAATGACGTCAGCATGAGCTGCTTCATAGTACTCGATTATATTTTTAAAGGGAATTCTCGTTTCAGGTTTTAGTTTTAAAATTATCTTTTGAAATTCTTGCTATTTAAGAATACTGTAGTGCGGGACGTATATTTCGGCAAAGTTAATCGCAGTTTGAACGTTGTCGCAAACTTTGTTGATCATGCGGATATTATACTCCACGTTATCTAGCAACACGAATAAATGGATTGTTGTAGAGGTTGTTTGAGTCATTTCTGTGACCTCACTAATGCGGTCTAGGATTTTCTGCTGATTTGATTTAATATTTATCATCTGAGAGTCAATATCCTTTGACAACTTTTTAACTATTGTCTGGGTCATGGTTACATCTTGATGAAGGATTTGTTCGTTTTCTTGCAGGGTTTTGATGTAGTTATCGTATCATATAGATATTTTTGGGCAGTTTCTAAGATATATCATAGTCCTCTTTTAATTAGTCTCTCAGGGGTTGTGTAGCGAGTTGTGACTGATTTAATTGATTTAATTTCTCCCCATAGATTGTGTGTTTTACTTGTTAAAAATGTGTAATTAGTGATGTTTCGATTTGTTAATTTGGCATTTATTTGTAGGAGAGTTTTCTGGGTGGTTCTTAAACAATTTCTTATGATTGTTAAGTTTATCTTTAAAATGTTTGCCTTTTTTGCGTTTAGTTTCAAGTTGAGATGTTTATTAAGTTCTTTGAAAGTTTCAGCCAATTCATGTACGTAATCAGTTTGTATTAGATTTAAGTTTTTCTCAAAATGCAGTTGATAATTGAGGTTCACTTTTATTATTTGAAAAGGGGCATAGTCATGAGACGAATGAATGATGTTGTTATAATTCAGAATAGCGATATCGACTAATTCTGGAATAGTTCTGGGACGATGATTATTGTTGGTGAAATAAAGTGGACACACTCTTAATGTATGAATAAAGGTATATTGATAAATAATAAAGAACAACACAGTACAAAAGTAGATTTCCGAACACGAGAACGATTCTGTATCAGCAGCGATTTGACGACGACTAACTAAAAAGGTTGCTCTCGCGATAAACAAAAAATTTGCTGCCTAAGCAATATGGCTTTGTGGTACATTGTGGTCCATAATATATATGGCTGAACTTATATTGATAATATTAAAAGCATTTTGATTATAGTCTTATTTTAACAATTATTCCTAAGGGCAATAAGACTTTCTTTTAGAGTCGAATGAAATCGTTCAAATGGAGAGTTTGAGTTTGGATTGTAAGGTTTGGTGAAATGTAATTCGATCTGATAAGTTTTGCAAAGAAATTGTATCAGACTACTTTTGAATGATTGCGCTTTATCTGTTGTAATTTTACTAGGCATTCCATGATGTGAAACGTATTAAATTAGACTTTGGCAAATTTCTATCTATGTTTCATTGATAGAGTATGCTGTGGCAAATTTCGAAAAGTTGTGTATGATTGTTAAGAATTTTTGACCTGATATGGAGTATGTGTCCATATAGATATATTCAAAGGGTTTGTTGCCTGTTGGTGTGCGTTTATAGATAACTTTGTAAAGCTGTCTGTCATATTTTATGTTTTGACATGTTTCGCAAACGCTAACGAAGTTTATTACATCTTTTTCCAAGCTTGGCCTATAGTATACTTATTTAATATTCTTGATGTTTTCTGTCATACCTCGGTGTGATGTTTTTGTTGTAAGATATCTTTCAATTATTTCTCTTTGCTCTTGTGGGTCTGTTACGTCTTCGAGAATAGTATTAGAGATAAATAGATTGTATGCATTATTTTTTAACGTAGTCGTACCCTTGTAATTTCAATCTCCATCTGACGAGGTTCGAATTTGGCTCTTTTATTGAAAATAACCATTGAAGTGGTTTGTGATCGGTCACGATGGTAATTTTTCTTCCAAATAAATATGGTCTAAAATATTTAGTAGCCCATACGATTGCTAAGAGTTATTTCTCAATGGTTGAGGAGTTACATTCAGCTTGATTAAGGGTTCTACTGGCATACGCAATAGGTAAATCTTTTCCAATAGCTCCTTGTAAAAGTACAGCGCCAAATGCATAGTCCCTCTGACTATGCATTTGGCGCTGTACGTTGTCAATATAAATGGTTTTGAAAAATCGGGGTGTTGTAGTATGGGGTCATTAGTTAGAATCTTTTTACATAAACTAAAAGAATTCATAAATATTTTATCATAAGTGATTTGGATATTTTTCGTTAAGCAATTTGTTAAGGGTTTAGTAATTTAAGCAAAGTTTTTTTTATAAATTTCCTGTAGTATCCGACAAGACCTAAAAATGATTTAATTTCTTTAGGGGTCCTTGGAGTTTTGAAATTTTTTATTGCTTCAATTCTTCTTGGGTTAGGCTTGATTCCTTCGGGAGTTATGACGTGTCCTAAAAATTCTACACAAGACGTTCAAATACTAGTTTTAGGGAATTAATATGTTCTTGAAGGCTGGTGGAATAGATAATTATATCGTCCATGTATACAAGACAGATTTTTTCTTGTAGTCCTCGTAGAACGTTATCCATTGTTAGTTGGAAAGTAGAAGGAGCATTTTTCAGTCCAAATGGCATACGTGTGAATTAGTAATATCCGTATTTTACGTTGAATGCCGCTTTTGGAATACTTGCCGGGTCCATTTTTATTTGGTGAATCAAGAGTGGTGAAATATTGGCATCTTCCCAATTTGTCTAATATATCCGTGATGTTAGGTATTGGATATCGGTCATCGATAGTTATTTCATTTAATTTTCGGTAGTCAATCACCAATCTCCATTTTTTATGTTCTGGTGCGTCTGTTTCCTTTGGCTACTATCTATACAGGTGAGCTCCAGGGTGAAATAGATGGATGAATAATTTGGTCTTGTAACATTTGTCATTTTTCACTTCTTCTTTATGTATATAAGGGTATCTGTAACTTTTGGTGTGAATGGAAATTTCGTTGGTTGTATTTATTACGTGTTTAACTTGGTTTGAAAACGTTAGGAGTGCTCCGGGTTTATGTCAAATTTATCGATAGTTTTTGAGTAATTCAAATAATTGAGTTTTTTTTCGAAATTCAGTTGTTCGTGTCTGATTACATTATTTAAATCAATATATTCGACATCTTTTTGTATTGGTTTTCGGTGTCTCATTTGTTCAAAACCTACTATTTCATAGTTGTTGAATTCTATTGGTTCTGGTAAAGGAATTTTGTCGTCTATTTTGCACGTGACCAATATGTGTTGATCAGAATTATCTATAACATCCACTATATAGCTGTTGTTACTTACTGTTATTAATGTCGAGTGTATTTCGATTTCGTTGTCTTTATAATGGGGTAGTATCCATGTGCTATTATTGGGTAAGTTTGTTTTAAAATTTGTTTTTGTTATAGTTTTATATTCTTCGAAATCTCGCCTATAATTGAACGGGATTTCGAGGTTTTGATTCTTTAATAGCTGATTTTTTTTTAAATCAATGTTTAAGTTTAGTTTATAGAGGTCTTTTATTCCTAGAATACCGTTAAAATATTTATGAAAAGAAAAAAGTATAAATTCAATAGGTTTAGAAATGCTAAATAGAAGTTATCGCTGGAGTTACTAGTTATTGATGCTCTACGTTTGAGATAAGTTATATCCGCAGAAGTTGTTTTCTTGAATTTTTTTATTCACTTTTCATTTGATTTGAAATTGCCTTAACTAACAGGTGTGCTACTATAAGAAACAATCGACTGACAAGTTGCCTCTAGCTTTCTTCCTGTATCAGGCGGCAGAGTCGGGAATAGATACACTATCCAGGTAGGCTGTCGTCTGTAGTGGACAATAGCGTCGCGCCAAAATGTCCGGCTGACTTCCTCGCTGTGAATCGGTTTCCAAAGGCGAATTATATTTTATAGGGTTATTACAACCATTTTTCAGAAAAACAAAATTTGATTCTTGTCTCTAATTTATTTCTATTTCATTTATCTCCAGTAATAAACTTTATCTTTGCATTATTATTATGGAAATGTATTCCTATTTTTGAGTAAATCAAGTATTTTGTTTTTCTGTTTTATATATATTGTGTGTAATTGAAAGATGATTTTTCTCTCTTGGAGATTCGGTCTGGGCAGTGGTGAAAAAAAGAAAAATTTTTTTAGCTACCATGCTTTCGGCGATTTATTGTCGCTTTCTTGAAGGTGTTAATTGTTTGTCAGAGGAAGTCTGAGAAACTTCCAGAATCATACTGTTACAATCTTTTAGCGTTGCGATGAGCATTATAAGTGTGAAGGGAAATCATATCGATGTACTGAGCCTTCAGCTCATAATTTAATGTAAAGTTATTGAAGTTCGTCCCTGTGTCTGGACACAAAAATATTATTTGTAAATTTTTAATTCATGACAACCTATAATCCGGCAATGTGATTCAAGTTTAATAGTTTGAGTTTCTACAGTGATATTAGCCGGATGGCCTAATTCTGCTTAACGCGTCAGGAAATCTATAAGGAACCCGGTCACACAAGGGGACAAGTTGACTTGACGGCATTGTATTCTGTACCACCACCTGTAGTGCTGGAGAAGAATTGGGGGGCTGCCCCCTTATCCCAGTTGCGCGCGTTCTAAGGGGGCGGTGGATTTCGCGCGTAGAGGGGTCGATTGTGTTCTAGAGTCAGTTTCGGGCGCGCAATGAACGGGATCGCGAATATATAACGGCCTGATTCCCGCTTACGATCGTCAGTTTTATGCGGGCTCTGTCAGATCTACGACATATTTAATTGCGTTATTCGCGCAACAATACAGCTGCCAATAAGCACGACTTTAACAAAAAGTACCACCATCGACGTCATCTTTTTTCCTAACTGACGAAAGCAATTTTCAACGTTCTTATCATTAAACTGCGGGCAGCTAAAGACAAAAACACTTACCCATTATCCGAGATTTTGCAGCTGGTGTGGACTTCAAGCAACAAAAACTTGCTAATGTTCCGAGTTTGTTTTCTGTGAAACGAAATAAATGAAATGAGAATGTGCGAAGTTCAGAATCGTTTGACGTACATGCACTTATTCATCAATCAGCAACAAGTCTAATTTTCTTGTTGCGAATCGGAGGTTTTATGATGATGCGAAATATTAAGTGGACCCACTGGTTAATGAAAATGGATTACGGGAGTTTGTTTTGCTGCTCGTTGGCGTTTCTACTTTATAGCAATACATTGAATTCAGAGTTTGTATATGATGATCGGTGAGTTGCAACACAGTAGCTTGGCTAGTTTAGAGCAAATTCATTGAAAATTCATACCTGGGTAGCGCACTTTACGCTAAGTATGTTGCTTATGCTATGATTGAATTACAATATTCCTGAGCATGGATTTGATATTTGTTTTAAATACCATAGCCGCCAAACCTATAAGCTCAAATGCAATAAAATGTTAAATATTTGAAGCAAATAACAATAGATAACCGATAAAATTATCCAGATTGTATTGCTCTATGCGCCAAATAGCTGATTATTTATGATGTATTGATATACATATTCCCGACATTTTGCGTGCGTAATAATTATTATACCTTATTAAGAACCAATATTGAAAGGACAGTTCCAAATGTGGTTACATCTAGTAAACTTTATTGCGCCATGTAAGAGTATTAGTATTGTGTCAGCATCCTGATGCATAAGATAACGTAGCACACACAGCTAGTAGAACTAAGACAAATTTTAAATGTTGAATTTTATAACTTTTTTTCGGTCTTTTTTTTATTCTATTTTTTTTATTACTACTTTTGTTATATC